TGACATCACTGACTCAAAGGACATGAATTTGAGTAAACTCCGGGAGATGGTGGAGAACAAGGAAGCCTGGCGTGCTGCAGTCCATGGGGTTGCAGAGTCAGACACAGCTTAGTGCCTGAACAACAGCATGTATTAAGTTTTTTCCATGTGAGGCCCTGTCCTAAACGTTTAATGTGGGTTCAAGCATTTAATCCTCAAGACAGCCCTACACATTGGCACTGTTGTTTGCTTCATTTTAGAGATGAGAAAACTGAGGCTTAAAGCTGGTGGTATAACTTCCCCAGGGTTATAAACTGAGGATGTGATGAAGCTGGGATTTGAACCCAGGCAATCTGACTCCAGAGTCTTTAGTGAGCTGTACTGCTTGTTATAATAGATGTTCAGTAGGTGTCTGTTATTGTTTTGTGATTTTTATTATTATTATCATTCATCTTATTTGCCCTATTTACAGAATAGTCACCCCTAGCTCCAACTGCACTCCATTTATCCTGTGGTACTTAATCTCCAAAAAGGATTCCTTCTGCACTCCCACCCCCACCCCACACCTCCCAATATCCACACCCTTGAATCTCCGCTGGGCTTTTAGCCAAGAGACTATGGTAGAAGGGATATTCTCTGACTTCAAAAGCTAAGCTGTAAGAAGACTTAAGATTTCCTCTTAGTCTCAGGAGACTGCCACATTTCAAGAAGCCCAGGCCATGTGAAGCAGGCATGGGTGGGCCAGTATCACCGGCCACCTCTGGGAGTGAGCCATCATGGATGTCCTGTCCAGTCAAGCCCCCTGGTGACCCCAGCCCCAGCCAAACTGGGGGAGCCCAGCTGCACCCAGTCAGTCTACAGAATCCTGAGAGTTTATAGTAAGCATTGCTTTGAGCCAAGAAGTCTTGAGTGAATCGTTTGGCAGCAGTTGATAACCAGAACACTCCTGGCAACAACTGATAACCAAAATCCTTCCAGTCCAGTATTAGGTTCCCACACACCTTGAAACCAAGCTGCAGTTACCTAGATTTGACTTCTCACTAAATTTTCGAGGCAAACACCTCTTCTAAGTAACAATAAAATAACATTTATCGCCCTTGGGTATGTTATTAAACTGTGTGTGCCTCAGTTCCCTTATCTGTAGAACAGAAACAGTAAGAGTCCCTAGTTCACAGCACTGTAGTGAGGGGAACATGAGTTAGTCCCAGGAGATGCTCAGAGCAGCGCCTGACCTTTAGAATCCATATACAGGTATCCCCTGCTTTTCGAAAGTTTGCTTTATGCCACTTCACTTTTTATTAATAATAAAGACCTACAAAAGACCTAACCAAAAGAAACCCCAAGATTTTAGCTTTCTTGAAAAAAGGTAACTGCTTCTTTGCTTTGTACCATTTGAGCTTATGAAAGGTTTTATGGAAACACTCCACTTTCTGATAGCGGGGGGAGCCTGTACTAAGTGACACCTCTCTATCAACTGAGACAGGCTTTTTGAATTTTAAAATCTTAATCCTCATACTTAACCTGAAGGCTAGGGGAATTCCCCCTTGTTCCAAATGAGCTGCAGGGAGTTACATAAAGCCTCGTGGCTAGGAAAGGGGGTCAGGGTTTGGACGCAGTCTGCGCTCTTTCCCCCTCCCCACTCCACCCCCGCCTCAACACCGCCACCCACCCTTCCTGGCACAAGGGACAGCACTAGCTTGTGGACTCAGCGCCCACGGAGCCCAGGACACAGACAGCTCACGGCAGAGCAGGTGGCTCGTTAGCCATTCCAGCTTGACCAGCCCCGGTGGCCCAGGGTCCCCCGTGTCAGCGCCTCTGTCTGACACAGCTGCATGGCGGGGAGGTGCCCTGCCTGCTGCGGTGAGAAAGCTCATTAAAGCCTCCGATTCGCACGGCAGGAAATGGCCCACCGCCAGCAAGGAGGCCCAGCTCTGCAGGGAGGGCGGCGGACGAGTCAGCACAGAGCACAAGTCTGAGTCCCCGCCGCCCGGGATCCAGGGTCCAAAATGTGCCATGTGAAGAGAACCGAGCGACTTGCTCACATGGAATCCACAGGTCCTCTCCAGATGTGTGGTGGGGGAGGTTCTGATTCAGGAGGGGAGATGGCAACACCGCGAGATCTTTCTTTGCAGGTCCCACCGGTGGGAGGACACGTCTAGCTGTCTACGTCTGTCGTCTTGCAGAGAAGAGCACGTTGTACATATGGACCTCCGCACTCAGAGCAGAGATGCCACCTGCTCGAGGTCACAGAGCTTGCCTAGGATAGGGTGTGATCTCACCCAGGCCCCCGATTCTGCCCCTCTCCCCTCCCCTCCAAGGTCCGGCCAGTCCTCTCTCCTCTGGACGCTCCCCGCCGATCCGAGCCTTCCCCGGACCCCGTGTGCCCGCGGTGCTCTACACTCTGTGCCCTAGACACGCTGCTCACCTTTAATCATGTGTCTTCCCCACATCTTGGGGCTTCTGGACTTACCACTTCATCCTGTAGACTGACAACCAGCAAAACTGACGCCTGCATTTGTTTAGAGTCTGTAACCATTAAATGTTATACGTTTGCCCAGATGTGTAGCCAGTGTGGTCCACCCGGGGATGCACCATTCCATCACTTAGGGATCTGGTCAAAAGCCACCTCTCGCGGGGCCTAGGCTCGATTATATCACACCAAATCCATACTTTCACTTCATGGCAGATAGATGGGGAAACAGTGGAAACAGTGGCTGACTTTATTTTTGGGGGGCTCCAAAGTCACTGCAGATGGTGATTGCAGCCATGAAATGAAAATACACTTACTCCTTGGAAGGAAAGTTATGACCAACCTAGACAGCATATTAAAAAGCAGAGACATCACTTTGCCAACAAAGGTCTGTCTAGTCAAGGCTATGGTTTTTCCAGTGGTCATGTATGGATGAGAGAGTTGGACTATAAAGAAAGCTGAGCACTGAAGAATTGATGCTTTTGAGCTATGGTGTTGAAGAAGACTCTTGAGAGTCCCTTGGACTGCACGGAGATCCAACCAGTCTATGCTAAAGGAGGTCAGTCCTGGGTGTTCATTGGAAGGACTGATGTTGAAGTTGAAACTCCAATACTTTGGCCACCTGATGCAAAGAGCTGACTCATTTGAAAAGACCCTGATGCTGGGAAAGACTGAAGGCAGGAGGAGAAGGGGACGACAGAGGATGAGATGGTTGGATGGCATCACTGACTTGGTGGACATGAGTTTGAGTAAACTCCGGGAGTTAGTGATGGACAGGGAGGCCTGGTGTGCTATGGTTCATGGGGTCGCATAGAGTCGGACACGACTGAGCGACTGAACTGAACTGAACTGAACTGAAATCCATATGTTCAGGTCCTCACCCCAGTATCTCTATATGTGATTCTGGAGATAAGAACATCAAAGAGGTAGTTAAGTTAAAATGAAGTCGCTGAGATGAGCCCTAAGCCAACAGGTCTGGTGTCCTTACAAGAAAGGAGGGTTAGGATACAGACACAAAGAGAGAGAGAAGCCCGTGAAGACACCGGAGAAGGTGTCCAGCTGCACGCCAAGGAGAGAAGCCTCGGGAGAAACCACGCACTCCAGTCTGCTCTAGCCGCCAGAACTGGGAGAAAAGCATCTCTGTCGCTTAAACCGCTCCGTCTGTGGCACTCTGCTATGCTGCTCCTAGCAAGTTAATACATGTGGGGAGCACTCCTGACCGCCAACAGAGCCCCCTCCGCACTCCTCCACTAAGAGGTCTCTTTCAGGACACTGTTACTGTGCTCATTTCTGAATCTCCCCCAGGGCCTGATGCAGATCACAGACGCCCGGTGGGTCTAAACAGAATCCACTCGTGGTGGCAGTCTGGGCATCTGTGCAGATGACAAGGGACCCCTGCCCTAGCCCCTCCTTCTGCAGCATGCCAACGAGTGAGCCGCTGCTGGCTGAAATTCCACTTGTTTCACAGAATAAGGATCACAAGCGAGATGCAAAGCAAAGGGATCTAAGCTGGGAGAATGGGGAGAAGAGAGATGAGCCCGGATAGGTATACAAAGAAACTGGGATCCAAAGAGTCGGACACGACTGAGCATGCACGCACGCACACTGGCATAGAATCTGCTAAGTGAAGGTGACTGAGCCTCAGTCTTTTGAAGAGTGGATCCACTTTCACTGGCCAAAACTGAACACGGAACCCCCAAATATGAAACAGATGCAAGCTCTGTTGCTCCGGCAGAAGCAAGGTGGACAGACCCCCAAGCCTGCCTTCTTGCTCTCCCATGATGCCTGCATGAAAACCCTGGAGACACCGATACAGAAACCCCCCTGATGTGGCTCATAAATGCCCTGGGAGAGCAGAGTCTAAGAGACTTGGATTTGAATTCTGAATTTGAATCCTCCTGAGAGAGTAGACAGATCCTAGGTGCTAGGAGGGCACGAGCCCTGTGAGTCTTGCTCACCCCCATCTTCTCCATCATTCGTCAGAACACCTGGAACATGGCGAGCAGGGATGGTGTGATGCTGAGGCTCGCAAGGCAAGTGGGCATTTGAAGAGGCACTCCCTCTCAGGGAGGACCCTGCCCCTGCGTGCCTGGGGAGGGAGTGCTCCCTTAAAGTTCTCAGGGTAGACGCCTTCTTTGCTTCACTCTACTCCAGGCCCTGATCAAAGGCCCTCAATCAGTAAGTCGTTCGATTCATTCACTAACCTCGTTTCTTCACTACTAAGATGAGGATGCTAAAAACGGCTTTGCCAAGTAATTTTAAGGTTAGATAATACATTTAAGCAACCAGAATAATGTCACATAGTGGTCGTGGCTATTGTTAATTTCCTTCCTCAGTGAGCTGGATCAGACAACAGATATGCTGAAAGTTCAGGGTATTTTCCAGAAAAGGGAAGAATCCCAGTCCCCCAGGGTCAGCAGGGGAGAAGCCCGAGAAACCGCGGTTCTGGACCACCGAAGGCCGGGTGGGTGTTCCAAGTGCATCCTCCACCCGGTGCCCGCCTCCTTCCCAGGTCTGAGCCTGCGGGGGCGGTGGGTGGGCCAGCACTCACCTCTCTCTGGGCAGCTGGTGGCTGGGGTTGTGGCGGCAGCGGACACTGAGGCCGAATAGCTTGCGGGCGGCGCGCTGGATCTTCTGCCTCTGGGCCTCCGTGGCGCTCTGCAGGAGCTTGTAGCGGTTCTGCAGGTCCCAGTCGTTGCCCCAGTGCTGGTGGATGCTCCCGATGGTCAGGAAGTGGTTGCTAGGGAGACGCTTCATGAACGATTTAAACTCATCTAGCAAGAGACAAAGGCCAAGGAGACGGGCTGAGCATGACATTCCCCATCGGCAGCTGCCTCAAATGCTCGGCCCTACCCACCAGGAAACAGGCCTGCACTAAAGCCAACTCCTTGGCGGCCTATGAACATGGCACCAGCCTGCTCTGCTCCTGGCACATAGTAAAGAGGCCACTGAGCTTTCAACGATGGGTCTTTTATCAATACTTTGCTGCATCCCGCATCCTTACTTCAGACAGGGTTGCCCAAACTTCTATCATTTGAATGCCAGCTTTATAATGGTATTCACATATCACTTGTACTTATCTTACTTAATATTTTCTTTGAAGTAATTAAACCACATTTTTACCCGATCGACACAGAAAATCACTATAACATGCATTTGGTAGGATGGGAGCTGTAGAAATAAGGCTGTAAAAATAAATATGATGAAAACGATATTAACAAATTCCAGCCAAATACTGTGGCCTGCTGGGTGACTGAAACCCATGCCTGGTCTCAATCTGAAATGTAGGGAAGTAGCAAGCGACAGTGTGAAAGAATATTAGCAGCAACTGAAATGTTCTCTGATGTGATCTGCAGACGGACAGGGAACTGACATGGACCCCCTCCCCACTGTGAGTCCCGCTCTCACTGGAAGCTGTATGTGTAGACTGCCTTTCCTTAAGTCACAGTTTGGGAAACTCCAGCTTAAGAGATGGGGACACACTCCTGGGTCTCCAGGGTTCCTGCCTCAGGTTGGGATACTCAGTTTCAGCGTGTCAGCAGGCGCCACAAGGTGACACAGCCTCAGGAATTATCTGGGCCAGATTTCTTGTTCTACATTTGGAAAAACTGAAGCCTCAAGTGGGAAAATGATTTTCTGAAGGTAGAATAGTCCAGGGGTAACAAGAGGAAGGATTAAAACATGAGCTGTTGTTTTCTGATCTAATACTTACCCGCACCCACTCCCCAGCATTGGAAATATTAGTGAATTAAGGAGTTAACTGTCTTGCAGGAAAAAAAAAAAAGCCTAACTAGTCAGAATATCTATCCATCAATCATATCTATCTATATCCGAACCTTAACACTTTCACTTTATGTTATAAACCCGACACAAAGAACTTCCCTGGCGGTCTAGTGGTTAGGAATCCATGCTTCCACACAGGGGACATGAGTTCGCTCCCCAGCAGGGGAACTAAGATCCCACCTGCTGCACAGTCAAAAACAAACAAACAAACAAAAAACCCAACCTACGGGGAAATTTCAGGTCTATTAGGCATTCATTTTAAAAAAAGCCTTCAAAGCTTTCAATAAGCACCAAGCTCAGTCTTCAACACTCAACACGCGTCACTGATCTTTACAGCAAACGCCTGAGACGGGAGCTTCTGGTGTCCTCCTTCTACAGAAACTAGGACACAGAGGAGTTAACGGACTCGCCACGGTCACACGGCCGGTGAGTGGCAGAATCAGAACCCTGGGTGGCTCCAAACATGTGCTCTGACTCAGCATATCTACTCACTCTCAACACATAAACAGGGCCAGCAAATTGGGAGCAGAAACTATGCATTTTTAATATATTTTATACTAAGGTGCTAAAAACAGGAGCCTCTGACTCCTAGAGGACCTCGGCACCTCGTTACAGACAGACACGCAGGAGTTCAAGCTGATTCTTAAACTGTGGACGGCTGTATAACCATGATTGTTATACAGTTGTTATTCAGCGCCTCAGGTTTCCCATCTATCAATAACAGCATCTAATCCGAATCTACAGAGAGTGACATAGGACGGCATCTGCCTAGTTTTCAGAATCCAGAAAGTGCTGAGCGGATGGTTGTGTAAGATGGGAAGGATGACTGCAGAGAGCCGGCTGGAGGCAGGGGACTGGCCCTGATGACTCCGACGCTTTGACCAGTCCGGCTCTCCCCTCAATGCAGCTCATCTTGTAAAGGGCTCTGTTGACCTCGGAGATAACAGTCCTTTCAATGAACCAGAATTTGGGTCTGATAGGAGCATCTAAACAAGCTTATGTTTACCAGGGGAGAAAGGGGTGGCAATAAACTGGGAGCCTGGGCTGACATATCCACACAAGCGTTTATCAGATAGAGAGCTAGTGAGAGCCTGCTAAATGTAAATAGCACAGGGAACCCTATTCAGTGCTTTGTAATGGCCTATATGGGGAAAGAATCTAAAGAAGAGTGGATATATGTACATGTATGACTGATTCACTTCGTATACCTGAAATTAATGCGACATTGTAAACAACTAGTCTTCAATAGAAACATTTTTTTAAGTGAAAATGATTTAATTTCTTGACTAAAACTCCTAATAAAAGAGGCGTTGTTGTTTAGTTGTTAGGTCATGTCCGACCTTTTTGCGACCCCATGGAGTAGATCCCTCTAGGCTTCCTTGTCTGTGGGATTTTCCAGGCAAGTATGTATGCTGGAATGGGTAGCCATTTCCTCTTCCAGGCAATTTTCCTGACCCAGGGATCGAACCCGAGTCTTCTGCATTGGCGGGAGGATTCTTTACCACTGAGCCACCAGATAAGCCCAAAGGAGGCACAGACCGCTATTTACGTGTATAAAACAGGTCCTATTTGACCACTAACACTCCAGCCATGAAGGAATCAATGGCTTTGACCTTTGACCAGGCATTAATCCCTCCAAATGACCTGGTCCTGAGTCATTAAGGTTATGGGTTGCAAAGGAAAGGAGGAAAATACACATATACAAGCCACATTTCGTGCAGATGGATGGGTTTGTCTTCATAGGCACAAACATTTCAAAATGGATAAGTGCAGGATATCTGGGGGAAAATGTGCTTTTGTGGAGACAAACCGTGACACAGCAATCATTTCTGCGGCCTTTTCAGCTTACTCTGCAGCATCTCCGCTTTCTGCATTTCCTCCCCCCGCCTACCCACCCACCCACCCTAAGCGGTTTCTCTTCCTTGGGGAAAAGGATTCTATGCTAGGCATCCCTACTACATGTGCACACAGCCGACAGCCACCTCTGCTTTTTAGCAATCAGTAGAATCTCTTCGCAAAAGCATTTTATCAAAAGCTTCTTTTTTTCTTTTTCTTTTTTTTTGAGACCAAATACTCATCATAACACATTTCCATCATGAAGCTCTCCTCTTTCATAGATTCCCAGGATTTTAAATGGACTAATGGGTGCAGGTTCCTAAGGCATCACAGCTCCACTGGGTGACCCGGTAAGAACAGAATCGTGGATGCTTTCTGTGCTCCCAGAGCTGGAGCGGGGGGCTCGGAGTTCAAGGAAACCAATGGTTTTCAAACACAGCGCTCTATGGCTCAGCTTCTGTCTGTGGTACACTGTGGCTTCAAGGTATGATTTTGTTTGATCAAAGGGTTCCTTGGAGAAAGATTTAAATAAATTCAAATATTTAAAACAAAAACATGTCCTCTCATTTATCAGATGAGTGAGCTCAGGCCGGGTGTGGGGGTTGGGTGGGTAAAGTAGAATTAATGAGTTACAAAAGCTGCTGTGAGCGCTGGATGTGGAATCAGGGCTTCCATTACCAATGCTGCCACTTACTGACTCTGTGGCCCCGGGGAGACACCGGTGCTTGGCGCCCTCCCTCCTCTAGAACACAGTGATATCACTACATGCTTCAGCGCAGTGTATAACAGATTTAAGGAATATAAAGTTGTGCTAAAAATAGAAATGCTCTATACATATGTCCATTTATTTAACACATCTCTGAGAACATATTAAATGCCAGATATCCACTTGGCATCTCTACTGGAAGTCTCAAGGGTTCCCAAGTTTTTCACGTCCAAAACTCAGTACACAGTCTTCTTTCTAAACCTTCTGGGGTGGTCTAGCTCTGTGAGTGGTACCCACATCCATCAGACTGCTTAATGAAAAACCTAAAAGTCCTTGGAGCCCACCTGAAGACCCTTCCTCCAACTCTCGGAGCCAGTCTACCATCAAGGCCTGCCAAGTCTTCCTCCTAAGCCTCTTGGCACTGGCATCTCTGCACGTTTCATTTTTACTGTCTATACCATCCTCCTATCCCACGTCGCAGCCGTGTCGCTCCTGGGTGCCTCCCGCTGGCCAATCTGCACTCACCCTCTGAGCCCTGCACACACTCAGATGCTGACACTCTCCCTGGAGGGGGCCTCTCCTGACTCCCTGGCCACACCACCCTCCGACAGCACGTGACCTGCTCACAGGAGCTCCTCAGTCCACACACACAAATGATTAACCTGTCATCACGAGCTGCATAGTTAGATGACCAATGCCAGGATGGCCCATTAACTAGAAGCTCCATGAGGCAGAGATCCAACTTTGCACCTCACCTACTTTATGGCCTCGGTGACCGTCCTCCCCCGAAATGCATTTCTCTCAACCACAAAAAGCAGGAAATGGCCAAATTACCTGAAAAGTGACTTCCAGCTACGACAGGCTGAATTCTTTGGCTATCTACATCAATATCTACACATATATGTACATATATACATACCCATATTTGCACGTGTGTGTGTGTTCATTTATTTGGAGAGACATGTACACACACAAACACATACACACTCACACACACACTCACACACACAGACTCAGGAATCAATACAACCAGCTCTGACTCCTCTCTCCAGAGGCTTCCTCTGGGCTCCGAGGCATCATTCTGTCTGTCGTCTGGGTACCACAGAAGCCGTATATCACAGGACCACAAACTTGATTATGTTATCCATTATTCCACTCGGTGGAGATTTATTGAGTGCCTCCTCTTTTGACAGCTACTCGAATGGGTCTGGACCCTCCTGAGTGAAAGGCTGGCGGGGAGGGCGGCGGCTGAGCGGATTCCCCCTTTGGCCATCCTGACGCCCGCCAGATCCCGGGCCCGTGGCCCTCCGTGCAGCGGTCAGGCGAGGCTCCCTACCTGAGTTCTCCAGGTCCTTGTAGGCTTCGGCCCACGCCTTGGCCATGCCGGCCAGCGTGTACTCCATGACCTGGATGTCGGTGATGGGGCAGTTGCACTGCGGAAACTCCTCGGCACACTGGCATCGGCACTGGCTGTTCTGACAGACGTATTCCCCCTCGCCATTGCACATGATGTAGCTCAAGGCCGACTGGACGAACTTCTCCTGCAGATACTGAGGGAAGATGATCTGAAGACCTGGAGGAGAACGGCGAGAAGGAGGAAATGGAAGGTTACAGAGGAGGCGTTCCATTAAGAGTGTCAAGAGGTGACACGCAGGACTCTGAAGCTGCTCGCTTTCCCTCTGTGCGCTGTGACCAGACGAGCTCTGGGCCTGCCCAGATCCACGCAGGGCATCGCTGGTGAGGCCTCCAGCTCCCTCGCTTCTCCTTCAAGCCCTCAGAGTGTGATCCTGGCCACCTTTGCTCTCTCCATACGCAATTCCGTGATATTAGCACTGAAGCCAGAACCAGATCCCTTAATATACCTTTTCCATTGTGGGAGAAAGCCCTTATTGAAAGCACAAGCTCACTGTTTATTTTTCCTTATTCCCTTCATTTCTCTCCTGTTCCTTTCTTCTAATATTTATGAACCTTATTTATGAAGCACAAGTCCTGAGCTAGGCGCTACGTCTATAAGAGGGGGAAAAAAAAGACACGATCTTTGCCCTGGGGGACTTTACAATATAATCAGCAGGCACAGACAACACACCTCATCACAACACAGCTTTAAGGACCCAGGGCAGAGCTGGCCATACGCGGCAACTGGACAGCTGAGGCAGCGTTAGCACTGCTGGAATAGCAGGGAAACCTCTGGAGAGGAAATGATAGGTGGGCCGGTTGAAAAGTGAATCATTACGTAAAAAAGAACTATGAAGAATATTCGAAAGAGATGGGGAGCAAGAACTAACATTTCACCTGTCTGGGAGCTGCTGGGAGGGGCGTGAACTCGGACGGGTGGGCGGGCAGTGCTGGAGGCGGGCAGATGCCAGAGGTCAAAGGTCTTTATTATGTGCGGAGGAATTCGGACTTTATCCTGTGAATAATGGGATACTTTGGTAGTTTCCCCAGGTAAGAATGACATAAACAGAGTTACGTAACTTAACAGGACCACCGTATCATTCACATGTACACGCAATGGGATCGGGGAAGACTGGCATCCGATTCATTTTCTCTCCTTTGCTTAAAAACGAAGAAGGCAAAGCTCACTGAGGGGAAATGGGCCGTTCACAGGTCTAAGGGGAGTACTCCTGACCACACGGCATGGTCTTTTCTCTATGAAGTACCCGACTAATCAGAGTCCTGATCCTGAGGACCAATGAAGGAGAAGGATGTATCTTGGCACGAGCGCGCCTCTCGTATCCGTGAGATGTCAGCACAGCAGGCCATCGCCGATGCTGCCCCCAAAAAGGACAACTCTGGGCTAAACTAAATCATTCCAGCACTTTCACCTGGGACATTTCTCTCCCCCTCACTTGGAGCTGCTGACAGGTTTTGCCGCCGATGCGTATTGGGGTAGTGGTTTTACTGCCCACTGTGCAGAAGAGGACTGTGCTCTTTGGACTGGAATGTTCTCCTCATTCACGCTTCAGGGACACCCCAAATCCTACTCATCAGGGATCTGCTGAATAAATGGCATTTCTCTCACTCGCGACTTCATAGTGGCGTCCCTAGACTTCTATCTTTCTCTTGCTTATAAATTATTTAAAAAACCCTGAAACCCGTCATTTCAACCTATCATCATATGGCAGCTAAAAAAGGTCTATTTTCAGAGGGGGCTTGTGAAAAAGAAGATGGTGTCTCCAGCATGCCTTCTGGTAGGAAACCATAGCACAGTAAAGAGCTGGGCATTGCTAGAGTCAGGCTTCCCTACTGACTGCCTAAGTCCTCTCAAGTTAGCTAGCCAACCTGTCAAAGGCTCCACTTTCTCTTCTCTAAAATGGAGATAATTTCAGTACCTCCATCAGAGGGTGACTGAGAGAGCTCAGTGACATAATTCTTGAGAATTGTCTAGAACAGTCTCTGATACATAGCAAACGATAAATGTGCTTTATTCTTATTCTTGATGATGATGATGATGATGTCATTCCTCTGATTAAAGTTTTTTAAAGTTACAACAGAAACCTCAGGATAGATGAAAGAACAATTATAGCTGTGACCATTTAATCAGAAGGAAAGATACCCAGAATGCAGGGTGGAGATACCTGGAGAGCTTCCACAAGAAGTGGGGTTTAGAATTCTGTGCTGTTGAACCAGCACTGATGGGAGGGCTATTTGGAAAGGTAGATCCTTTGTCAATACGCAGAGAAGGTGTTCTAACAGGCAGGCTGGGCAGCCGGGGTGACGGTCCACCACAAGGCTAGGGGCGCTCCACCCCAAGAGCAAAGGGTCCAGACAAGTTTGAGTCGCTGCCTGCAAGGGCTCCCGTATTGACGCGTAAGATGCAAATACGGAAAGGCAGAGCAGGCCAAATCCAGCGGCGTCCTAGACCAAGTCTGCAGTTCCTTCAGAGCAGGCACTACTGAGCCATTTTATCTGTGTCACCATGTTTTGCTTCCAAGGCAAAGTTTATTTTTAGCTGATCCCAATCCCCTATAGGCATGTGAGTCCATGGACTGGGGTTAAGTTTCTGTTGCTTAAAGAAACTCTATAGACTATACTCTCAGTCCTATTTTTCTAGCTTGCTCATCATTTTCTTTCTCTCTTTTCCAGGGGATAAAATATTCTATTCTTGGTGCTTGCCCAAAAGGAATTGGGGGAGAGCGTTTTTTGAAAATTGCGTCAAATCATTTTTCTGTCTGGCAAGGATACAAAACGCGGTCTTACCTACCCCATTTAATGCAACTGAAAACAGATGAAGTTTGGGGCTGGGGGGTTTCTGGGAGCAGCTGAAACGCAAAACTGGCTGCTCTTTAAAAATGGAAACCCAGAACCTGCCAAGCTGACTCCGAGGCGGAATCTCCTGGGCAAATTTGAAAAGAGAATAATGAAGACATAGCAATTAAAAAGCACTTTTCTGCGAAATGTCATTACTATTTAAAGTTACATAACCATTTCTCCGGCAGCGGAGGTTCACATAGCAGTCACCACCGGAGTCGTCTCCCTGTGACCTGTGTCCAACAAAGAGGCCCATTGCTGGGCGCCTCCTGCATGGGCGCCGGAGTCCTGCCCGCTTCAATGGGAGCTGTAAATAATGTGGAGGGGGATTTGGCCTGGGGATCCGCCATGTGAAAGATATACAGCTGCCGGCTGGGGTGGCCTCTCCTGTCCCCTCAGTTCCCAGACACACACACACACACACACACACACACACAAGAAGAGGAAAACTGAGAAAATGAGAGAGAAAAAAGGCCACCCTTAATGCCAAGCATATAAATCTGGCCTCACAAAACCCAGGAAGGCAAGAGTTGAAAGTTCCATTTGCACACCAACTCACCCACGCTAAACATATGGAATCTGCCCCCCCCCCCCATCTCATACTTACCAAAAAAAAAATCTTGTTATACTTTAAAATGGAACATCCGGCTGTCGCAGGGAGCGGGCAAGGCCGACGTGGGAACCCTCACGGCACCCACCTGCCCTTTTCCTGATTTCCACCCCGCCGTCCTTAGCCCCCTCCCGGCTCGCCTTCAACACTCGTGCCTCCCTGTATCTCTGTCTTGCACGTGCAGTCTCTGTGAGCCGAGGTACCCTGTCTTCCCTCCGTCACACGAGATGTCTCTGATCCCTCGGCCCCCTCCTTTCCCTTCTCGGCTGTTTTCCAGGACGCACCAGGCACCCTGCCCTTTTGCAGTCCCTCCTGTGTGCCAAGCTTGTTCCTTCTACATCTCTGCACTTGTCTTTCTCTGTGCCTAGAATATTCTTCTCCCAGATCTCTGCCTGGCTCCCGTGTCCTGCCATCCGGATGCGCCCAGGCCACCCATGTTAAGATGCCTCTTCTATTTTCTTCACAGAACTAGCTTCTGAATGAAATCATTTTATTTTTTTGTCTTCATTTTCTTTATTTTCTCCCCCATTAGACAGGGGGCTTCAGGGGGACAGAGGCCTGTCTGCCCATGACAGTCCGTCTGAGCTTAAGTTAAGGCCAAGCCCTGGGGAGGTTTCAGATGTTCATTTGTTGAAGGGCTATCCTCTTTCTCATTCCAATTGGAAAGGGAGTTGTCCCTGAGAACTCAGAGGCTGTTAGAGTTGAGGACATGTCCAGAGCTCCACAACCATAGTCAAAGACTCAGGACTCGACACTGGGAATTCTGACTGAACTCTGAAATTCTAGCGGGTCCTTCTGTGACTCCAACGGGAAGGGATGCAAACTGAGATGAATGCCTGCCTCGTGGTCCCTGGGGTGCCTCAGGCACCGAGGAGTCTCTGGGAATGTCTTAGCCTGCATGAAACTCAGTTTTCTTGCCCGTGAAGTTAAAATCCCAATAAACACCTTCCAGGGCTGTGTGTAAATGAGGGGAAACAAGGCATAAACCGCACTTCAGCAAACATCTGACTGTTATGGACTGAGTATGTCCTCTGACCCCTAATTTCATATGTTGAAACCCTAACACCTGAGGTTAGGTTTAGACAGGGTCAGCAAGGTGGGGCTTCCATGATGGGGTTGGTTGTTCTAGTTGTCATTCAGTCACTAAGTCATGTCCGACTCTTCGAGACCCCATGGGCTGCAGGAAGCCAGGCTTCCCTGACCTTCACTATCTCCTCGAGCTTGGTCAAGTTCATGTCCATGGAGTCGGTGACGTCATCCAACCGTCTCATCCTCCGTTGCCCACTTCTCCTCCCGCCCTCCATCTTTCCCAGCATCAGGGCCTTTTCCGCTGAATTGGCTCTTCGCATCAGATGGCTAAAGTATTGGAGCTTTGGCTTCAGCATCAGACCTTCCAATGGATATTCAGAGTTGATTTCCTTTAGGATGGACTGGTTTGACCTCCATGTGGTACAAGAGACTCTCAAGAGTCTTCGCTTTTATAGGAAGAGGAAGAGACAGGAAGCCACTCTCTCTTTCTCTCTCTCTCCCCGCTCTTCCCCTCCTGCCCTCTGTGAGCACACGCTAAGAAAAGGCCATGTGAGCACACAGTGAGAAAGCTGCTAAGAGCCAGGAAGGTGTCTTCACCAGACACTAAATCTGCTGGCACCTTGACCTTAGACTTTACAGCCTCTAGAATGGCAGGAAATAATGTCTCTTGTTCAGACCACCCA